TTATTGGAAACAGGCCTCGGGAAAAACAGACAATTCTCTTGCTGCTCTCTCTTACCTGGATGATTCTGGGACACTGGCATTTCCAACCTCATGATGAAAATAGGCCAGCTGAGCCTGGTGAGAAAGGCTAAGCATGAGTTTCAAAACCCAAGGGAATGCCTCCCAAAGAAGCAGCCCTTTGGTCTTTTTGATGGACGCCAGACGGGCTTCACTCTTGTTGCCCGGGTTTTCGAAAAGCTGCTGCTATAAGCTTGCTTGAGTCCTAAGAATCACTTCAAAATGTTCATTTTTCAGTTCCACTGATTCACTGAAGGGTAGGGGAAAAGATAGTCCTAGAAAATGTCCACCAGGTCCACAGAGCAGGGTTTTTTATTTTCTTTTTAAATGATGAGTTTCCTGCTTTGTGCACATTTGCTCTTCATGTTAAAGCTACAGCACACAAGCCCGTGCCTGGTACTTTTTGAGAAATATGTGTGTGACCGTCACCCTCCCCAGCCTGATGGGGCTATGGAAAGGGAAAGTGACAAATCCACCCAATATTTTCAAAGCTCTTTGAAAGCCACCTTTTTTGTTAGTTGGTTTAAGAACTTGGCTTTTCTTTACCTAAATGCAAATGTAAAGAACATTATCATTCCTCCAGGAAAACAAGAAGGTAATATTCCTATTGCTTGGTCAGATTACATTATTTTACAGCCAAGTGTTATACCAGATACAGACAGAAAGTAGTCCCGACCTTGCATTTGTCTCTCTTTTGTGTTGGAGGCTTTTCTAATACAAAAGGCCCAGGTTCACTTTCAGATTAGTATGGTCAGAGGTACATGTGAGGTGTGGGCTCACTCCCTTTCATATTATATTCACCTCCACCTCCCATGTACCTCTGACCACTTGGCCATAAAATAATTGTATAAAGTAGTTAGGAATTTTTCCAATTTAAGCAAGATTGTGCTTCCAATAACAAAGACTTATTTCATGTTTCACTTGAGAGATAATGATGTCAGCCTCCAACTCCCAAGCACAGTATAGAAGAATAGAGGTTTTGTCCACCTGGAGAATAGGGCGAGTACCAATAGATGAGTGTTTCACAAAGAAACAGCGTTGAGTGGTACAGATGTTCCTGAATAGACTAATAACGTCAAAGCCTGAAGTCCACAACTCCAAGAATTGTGAGTTACCCTGAACACATTACTTTTCCTTTTCATGATCTTCCCTTCCAATTTCCTACCATTATGTGCTTATTCTCCCCTAATAGATACTGAGTACATTGATGGGAGAGTGTGACTCAGAGGCTTATTGTGTAGTAAACTCTAATGTATTTTATTGTGTATGCATTTGTAAGACATTTGGGGGTTTGGGAACTTAGATTTTTTTTAAATTTTTAAAAGTTTTTTGTTTCTGTTCTTATTTTTGTTATTTTTGTTATCTTTTTCAAAAAGATGGGAGAATTTTCTTTTCGTCCTGCTCAGTTTTTATTTATGATTCTTGAAATATAGCTCTGAAGAAACCAGACTTTTTAAAAGCCCATTAAATGGAACTACATGACTGGCCTTTAAACCCAAATCATTCTGGCTGGCTCTCATTGAATGGCCAATAATAACCCCCAACCCAAGTCTTTGGAGCTTGTGGTTTAGTTTTGATGGCTTAGAATGAATGTAAATAGCAATTGTTTTCTGTTCCAGCCAGAAACTCTAAGGTCTTCCCCTCCCAAATGGATAGTTTTGCATTGGTAAATTGGACATCTTTTGTCTCCATTTTTACCTGTCCCTTAGTCACTGAATGGGTGTTGCTTCTGACAAACTGAAACCTGGGAAAGACCTTAATTTTGAAAGGCCAAGGTCACCCACTGCATCCTGGGCCATCACCAGGCTTCTTTCTTGCCACTGGACTCTGATGACTCTGGAGGAGAGAGTGAAGCTGATGACTTCACATTAGCTCGGCCTCAGTTAAATCCAATTCATGAGCAAATCAAGACATCACCCGTGATGTCATTGGTCCTCTTCAAAATGAAGGACAAACAACAATTTGTTTCAATATATAAGTACCTGTGACACTACTATTATTTCCTTTGCTTTATCACAAAGTAGATGGTTATGCTTAAGCTCTACAAGGGTCATTATTGTGAGTGGCTGGTTTATATAAATAGAAATGCATAAATAGGGGCACATGAACCAGTGGTGAGGAGGGGATGTATATTTCTGTTCAACGGGTTGTTCCTCAGACCCTGAGAGAATTTGAGTGTAGTCATGCAGTGTTAGCCTAGACCCATTGGTCTGTGAACAAGCCAGCCCAGAGAGTGAGTGGGAGAGTCCACACAGCCCCTCGAGGGCTGACTCTGCCTGGGTGTGAGGAGGTTTTGAGGGGTGAGCAGGTAGGTCACTGCTCCAGATATCACCACCTGTATTACATGGCAGGAATGGCCACATCACCCAAACTCTAGAACAGTGCTTCCTTCATCTTCTACCTACAATGTCAACTTTTTGGACCCAAGATTGTTGTTCAGTAATAAATACACTAACCCTGGAGTCACAGAACCTGAATTCAAACCTTGCCTCTGCTGATCAATTTGTGTGACCTTGGAGAAGTTACCTGATTTTTCTGGGCCTTGGTTTACTTACCTGTAAAATGAGGGGCTTAGACTAGATGATTTCTTTTTTTTTTCTTTGAGACAATCAGGTATGTGACTTGCCCAGAGTCACACAGCTAGTAAGCGTCTGAGGCAGGATTTGAATACAGGTCCTCCTGACTCCAGGGCCAGATCCATTGTGCTACATAGCTGCCGACATCTGAAGAGGTGTAGAGGTTTTGGGGTGCTGAACCCCAAGATTGCGACATGGGTCTGCCTGAATGAATTCAACCCAAATCTTCTTCCAGCCAGAGAAATAGTTTATTAAAGATAAAGCATATAGGCCAGACTCCCAAGGAATCCAAAATCAGTAACGCCCGTAAGGATGAGCGGGAATGAAAGTCTCATCCTCTAGGCATGAGAACAGCTCAGCATCAGAATAGGGGAAACCAGGTGATGCCCATAAGGATGAGCAGGTATGAGACAGTCTCAGCCTTTTGGACATGAGAAAAGCTCAGCATCTTAATAGAGACAAGATGGACCTTATATTCAGTAAGACTGTGGGAGGGATCTAGGAGTGGCCAGGTAGTTTGGGGTGACGGGAGGAAGAGCCTAGGGAGATCTGGATGGGAGTGGCTAGTAAGCTGGGGTGAACAGAACTCCTGGGTCCTGGACCTCATGGCCCCTAGCTAGGATTAAGGGTGGGAAATGGCCAGGGGCCATAGGAAGGTAAAACAATGGAGGGGAGATTGTGTGTAGCCACAATGAAAGGCCAGTTGATGGGGGGAGGTGGTTGGGAAAAAGGGTCCAGGTGAGAATTCCCCTTGGAAGGTCTGAGAGATTGAACAGACAATGAGAGTAGATGATGAAGGAAACTGGAAGGAGAAAGTTTGCTCTCAAAGGGAGCTGGGACCGGTAGACAAGCTTCTTTTTAGGGCTAGGGGCAAAGGTGCATTTGAATAAGATTAAAAGGTAAGGCTAAGGCTTTCAAAGAGAGGTAAAGTGAGTCTACAAGGAATCTAAAGTTTAAGGTTTTTCTGGAAATTGTAGACAAACCGGAGCCAGGAAGGAAAGAGCATCTGAATAAGATCAAAAGGCCAAGCTGAGGCTTTGGAAGGGCAAAGGTCTCGGCTTCTAAAACTGAATGAAACCCATCACATCTTCTATTCCTATGACTTTACTTATCCTTTATACTTGTGAAGAGGTCTAGAGGTTTGGGGTACTCAGACCCCAAGATCATGATGTGGGCCCTGCCTGAATGAATTCAACTCAAATCTTCTTCCAGCCATAGAAAAAGTTTATTAGAGATAAAACATATAGGCCAGAATCTTAAGGAATCTGAACATTAGTAACACCCTGAGTGCACAAGTCAGTCTCAGTCTTTTGGGCATGAGAAAGTCTTAGCATTTGAACGGGGGTCAGGGTGGATCTTATATACACTAAAGTAACTTAGCATGGCCAGAAGAGGGGGCTGGGAAAAGGGTCTAGATGAGAATTCCAATTGGAAGGTCTGAGAGATTGAATAAACAATGGGAATAGATAATGAAGGGAACTGCAAGGTAGAAGTTTGAAAGGATCAGAAGGTGGGGTTAAGGCTTTCAAAAGGAGATAAGGGGAAAGGTTTTTGGGGACCTGTAGACAAAGGGGAGCCAGATTCTTTTTAGGGCTAGGGGCAAAGGTGCATCTGAATAAGATCAAAAGGTAAGGCTAAGGCTTTCAAAGGGAAATAAGGAGCTGGGGCCTGTAGAGCCAGATTCCCTTTGGGGCAAGGGGTGAGGATCTCGACTTGGGCCAATACATGTCTCTTGTATTCAGAAAAAGCAATTTCATAAGCATATTATGGCTTAATAAATAGTACCCCAGTCTGTGTAAGACCAGACCCTGGGGCTTTGGACCATGGGTATGTCCATTCATTGGTTGCTAAGTAAAGATGTAACAGATTAGCGACAATCAGATTAATCCTGATAGAAAACCTAAAATCTGTGATTCTTAGCCTGCCCTCAGTCCCCTTTCCCCAGCTCTCTGTCATAATCATGGCCACAGCAGAAGGGGCCACCTAGGATTGAGGGCCATTTAGTATACCTCATTGTTTCATGGGCCGGCAAGGTCAGAGTGGCCAGCCTGCTGGTGAGTGAGTCTCTCTGTCCTGAGCTAGGTGAGTCCTAGCCAGGGCCTCACAACAGAGACTCAATCTCTTGCCTCTTGATGCTTGAAAGCTTTCCTGGCATGGGAGAACCTCCAGAGGTCATCCTCTGCCAGCATTGACCTTTGAGAGGTCCTGGGGTCACCTCCCTATCACAACGGTACATTTGAGGAGAACTTTGTGGAGGTGCAGTGACCCCCTGGTCACAATGAGACAGAAAGAGGACTGATAACAGCCTTGGGAGCCCCCCACTATTGGAAGTTATTAATAATCATAATCATTGTGTTTATATCCTAGCTTCCAAAACATATTCACAAGAATACACAGATCTTCTACCCCAAACCTCCAAAACTCTTGGCACCAAACACCACCTTAAGTATGCTGGATCCTTTATTGTCTCTAAGAGAAGCTAACATACAAAGAAATCTGGAGCGGTCCCATTGGATAACAAGCTACACACATGATTTCACAGGTATGGATTATCTCTAGTGTGAGCAATGGGGGAAAATCACATTTGGCAGGAGGTGGTGCTAGGAGATCTCATCTCCTTTTTGTTCACAGCCCTCACCCCCATTTCTCCGTCAAAGCACTGAATGGATATTGAGGAGAAGGACAATAGTTTTGGGTGGGTTGGGAGGAGGTAAAGGATTGGTTTTTATCTTGGTCACGTTTTGGAGGTACAGTTTTTTCCTGGGGGGTAGGGGTTAGAATATATTTCCCTGTTCCCTTGTCCACAGTGGGAAATGGTTTTCTCTTGATTGAATCTTATCAGATGGCACATTTTTGAGGCATAATAGACAGAAAGCCAGCCTCAAAGTCAGAAAACCCTGGGTTCTAATGCCATCTTTGATCCATACTTTGTGTCCCTAGGCTAGTCACTTGACCTCTCATTGCCCTAGGTGAATCTTCCAAAACTTTATATTGTAGAGCAGTTATTGATCTGCATTGGGAAGAAGGAATTTACTCAATGAGAGTTCCCTATGAACCAATAAAAATCACAGGTCCAGTCCATTTTGCTTGGGACATTTAAATTGGGGAACTAACCTCCAGTGAGTAGTGTAATGCTAATCACCCTATTTTCTAACCAAATAATAAGATCCATAACATTTCCATTAAGGTTCAGGTCCCGTGAACCCCCTTGAACTGGATGATTTTCATGGAAAGGAGGTGGCCACTTTAACTGGACAGATAGGATTTGACCCACCACCTGTAAGTAATTACAGTCAACTCTCAATTATTCTGGGGGAGGGGATGATCCAATTCTTTAGGCACTTGGTTTCTTCCTCAGGCTTTGCCTCCCTCTATCCCATTCACTGTTGTTAGTGGCCAAGGGACGTTGGCTCTCACCTTTTACCTCGACTCTATCACCACATTATTAGACTGTGGGGGACAAACCAATATGGGGGAAATATGGGGAAAAACCCAGTTCCTTTTCTCATTGTTATGATAGGCCAGTTCTGCTCTGCCAGAGCTCTGTTGAAATTATTAACAGAGGCATTGATTTATATGGGGCATGGGGCATTTAATTTGAATGAAAATGTTCACAAATCCTTTGAATTGGTGCACATTTGCATAGCTTTACATTATCTTACACTTGGGTAAGCTAGACCATGGCTTCCTCCCATTAGCCTTAATAATTGAGAGTTGGCTGTATTACAGCATGTAGCAGACTCAATAAATATTTGTTGTTTGACTGACAACATGAAAAATACTAAGAGAAATCATCAGACTTCAAAGACATCAGATACATGTTATCTAATTGAATTCTTAGAGAAGTAAAGGAAACAACTTAGCCATCCATGGTTTATGTTTTCACCAAGGATTTTAATAAAAAGTGGGGATCCCAAATTGGACCCCTTGTTTACCTGCAGAAGACTCTAAAGAAAGTTCACATTTTCATGTAGTTTTCACTACAGTGGGACCCAGTTTCTATACTATGAATCCTTGGGGAAATGGATACTGGTCTAATGATACTGTTCTAAATTCTCATCCATCACAATGCTAAGACTGGGAAATTGACAAAGAGACTTTCACTATTCATAAAATCTGAGTTTATGTTGACTTTAATCCCACCCCAGCCTTCCTTGATGTAATATAGAAGCATATGATCCTTGACTGTTAGCACCAGTCCAGTGACTGGCCAGCAAACAGTAACTATTTTATAAATGCCAATTGATCAACCCAAGCTATTTCATCCAGTGAAATCCGATGGCCAAATTGACGATTTCACCTTCCTGTATCTCAGACTGACACTGAGGATTTGGACCCTTCCCCCTACCTCTCAACAACCTCCCTTTCCCACCATAGGTGACCATCCAGGAAGTAGTCTTATTTTATTCAAGAAAAAAATGTCCAGTTATGCAAATTTTACATAAAGAACCACATATAAAATAATTATAGAGATGAGTTAACATCAAATAGGTATTTATTGCTGAGAGGGTAAAATCTCTAAAGCATTGTTTCTCATAATCTTGGCGTTACATTAATGAGGGCGGGGTATGGGAGATAGGAAAGCCTGGTGAACCTTGGGGACTGCTGGGTTTCCTATGAAACACCTAGGCTTTTGGCACAGGTTTGCTCTAATTATACTATTTTTAAAGGTACATTTGAATTCTGTGGTTTAGAAAACCAAAATAATCCCTCTTCATTTAAAGGGACATTTTTGAGGCAAAGCCTGCTGTTACATGGTGGGATGGATGCTAAGTTCATAGTCAGAAGACCTGGGTTTGAATCCTGGCGTCTGTCCCTTGTACCCCGTGTGACCCTAAAATCAGCTCCTTAACCTCTTGGGTTCTCAAAGGAGTAAGGGTTTGTATCAATGTCTCTAGTGTTCCCTTCAGCCTTAAAACCCCCCATAATAATGGTCATTCGTAAGTAGCAACCTTTTTCACAACCACCCTGTGAAGTGCAGGAAGACTATAGAAGAGGAAACTGAGTCTGACAAGAAAGGCAAAGTGCCCAAAGCAACGCCATTAGCAAAGAGGCAGTGCTGATATTTGAACCCAGGTCTCCTAGATCTTAAGTCCAGTACTTTTTTTGTGTTTGGAAGTAAAATTGGACTCATTGAGCTAAACAATTCAAATATCTGGATTTTTGTCCGTTTCTCTACGTGTTGTCTACCCAGGCCTAATAACTGAAACAGGAACTAGTCTACCCAACCGCCAAGTATATAGTAAGCACCTACTATGTGTCATGGAACTGGGAACATGAAATAAACTCTACTATTGAATAACTTATATTCAATCAGGGGAGACAAGAGACAGAGGTATAATTATATAAAGAATAAATATGACCAGAAGAAACATAAGGCTGTCAGAGAAGGAGGACACTAGCAATCGAAGGAATCAGAAAAGACTTTATGGGTATGATGCTTGAGCTTCATCATGAAAGAAGAGGGGGTTCCCTGAGAAAAAGGCAAGAAGAGACCCTTGACAGGCATAGGGACAGTCGAGGCAAAGGCCCAGAGGTAGCAGACAAGAGTATCTTACCTGAGGAAGAGAGGGCCAATTGGGTTGCACCCCAGAGTACAAGAAGTGGAGTAATAATATATAATGAAGCTGGAGGGATAGGTTGGGACCAAGTTGGGAAAAGCTCACATTTCAACAAATTCTAAGAACGTCAATGCTTGAGGGCAGGACTCTACTCATTTTTTTTTGTTTTTGTATCCCCAGAAATCTAACACTGTGCCTGGTGAAAGGGTAAATCCTTAAGAAGTCCTTCTAGGTTTATTGGTTCACTGGTGTTCTCTTGTTGTCCTAATAAAATGTGAGCTCCTTGAGAACTTGGGATGGTTCCTTTTGGTCTGGGCACCCACCCCCACCACCTAGCACAAGACCTAGAACATTGTAGGTTCTAAAGAAATACTTGGTGATTGATAAAAAATAATCCCTTATGGTTGAAGAGACCATCACAATCCCATAACTGAGAAGGGGGCCCAGTCAAGTATTAAATGTCCTTGGATATGTTATTTTAAGTGGTACAATTTTAGAAGTCTAATCAAGCTGTTGAAATTGAAATCCCCAAATAGTATATAAAACTGAGCTATAGCAGTGGAGTGCCAGTGACTTCTGATGCCAATCTCTTCCTTTCTTTGTCTTCTCCTTACCTACAGCAAGAACAATCCCACCCAGAATTCCTTCCTACCAGACCTTTGGAAGGCCGTATTGCACGTATTTTGCAGGGCCGCAGACCCCGAGACTCCGTAGTTATCGCACAGAGGTTACCTTTGTGTCCCCAGTGTACACCTAGCGTCCTGTGCAGGGTACATTCTGTGGTGCCCAGTCATGCTGAGATGATGCTCATTAAGGGGAGCACGCCAGCAGGACCTGTGGCCCGCAAGAACCCAATTTCTGAAATGGAAGAGATGATCGGAAACGGAGTAATACCACCATCTCCACCTCACTGCAAGACCAAAGAAGACATGTATGATTTATCTAAGATTTATGAACCAAACCCGTACTCCAAAATCACAGATACTTACAGGAATGATGCTTTGTACTGGAGACAGCTATCGATCAGGCCTACCTCCCAAACACATGTCGAACCTGAGGATTTTCTCTGCTATGACAACATGAAACCCAGCCGGCTTGACCAATATATAGTGTGGCATAACCCCGTTGGCCTCAGCAAGCCCAGTGTTCTACCAGAGCTAGCAGAACAAAAACCTCCCTTTTCCCCCTGTCACTGTTTCATCAACAAGCCACAGGAGTATCCACAGATTCCTGACAAGGGGAGCCAGGGAGACAAAAATCCCCTCCTGAAGTGGTTTCCCAACGCTGGCTTGGCTCGGCCACAGACCTGCCTTCTGAAACTCCAAGACTCTTTCTCCAAGACAGGTGCATGCAGACGTTTTCAGGAGTCAATCGTAGAAGAACGTAAAGACCTACAGGATAGTGAACACTTAGGAATGCGACACAATTTCTATAACTATAATGTCGATTATTTCTTTAACTGATATATTTCTTCATCCCATGGAAATCTAGCATCTGGCAAGAACATTAAAAAAATGTATAATAATCCTCTCCTTGTGGCTACGCTTTGCCTCCTCTATGATGTCTCAATATCTTTGTTAATAGCAGTAACAAGCCACACATTTGTCATACTCAAAGGTGTGCAGATGGGCTTTGAATTCATTAGCTCATTTGAACCTTTTGACAGCCCTGGGAGGAAAGTATATATTAGTGATTATTAACCTCATTTTACAGATGAAGAAACTGAGGCTCAGAGGCAAATAGATTGAATGAAAAGTACTTTATTATTGAGCTTTTCTATTTGTATTTCCAGTGCCTAGCATTTCACTTTGCACATAGCAAGTGCTTAATAAATGCTTTGTCATTTATTCATTCATTCCACACTCACTGTGGGGGCCAAGTGCTATGCTTAAGCATTAGACATACAAAAATAAGACAGTCCCTGACCTCAAGGAGCTTACATTGCCTTGTTCTAAATAAAGCGCGCTCTCTCTCTCTCCCTTCCTTCCTTTGTTTTCTTCCTCTTTCTTCCTTTCTTCCTTTGTTTCCTTCCTCTTTCTTTCTCTCTTTTTTCCTTCCTTTCCTTCCTCTTTTTTCTTTCCCTCCTTTCTTTCTTTCTTTCTTTCTTTCTTTCTTTCCCTCCTTTCTTTCTTTCTTTCTTTCTTTCTTTTTTTCTTTCTTTCTTTCTTTCTTTCTTTCTTTCTTTCTTTCTTTCATCTGTCTCAACCAGCTAGAAGTACAGCAGCTTCACTCAAGCCTAACCTCATTGCTGATTGTCATGGAAAACCTTTAATCTGTTCCATCTCTGAGATGAGCTGGTTCACTCCTCCATAGGTACCCTAGTGGCCCTCTGTATACAGGGGCTCGCCATATTGGTAGCGAGCTTGGTACCAACACCCAATCGGCTTTAGTCCAGCTGCAGTCCAACTGTAGCATCTCCCAAGCTAGAGCAATCCACCAGCTCAAGCCTCTCCAGCAGAAGGGACTCTTACTAATGAGTATTGGGAAAAGTCTATGTTATACAGTTCCTAGTCAACTCTCATTAATTAACATTCTTACACACTTCCAAATACATCATGACACAATTTACCAAACAAGTATTTTGCAAATTTCTGATAGATTAGTGCCTTTGTTGCTGGCAAAAATGCCTTCCCAACACTAATGCATTGTTGGTGGAGTTGTGAAATGATACAACCATTTTGGAGAGCAATTTGGAACTATGCCCAAAGGACTATAAAAATGTACATACTCTTTGACCCAGCAATAGTACTTCTAGGGCTGTATCCCAAAGAGATCATAAAAATGGGAAAAGGATCCACATGTACAAAAATATTTATAGCAGCTCTTTCTGTGGTGGCAAAGAATTGGAAATTGAGAGGGTACTCATCAATTGGGGAATGGCTGAACAAGTTATGGTATATGAATGTAATGGAATACTATTGTGCTACAAGAAATGATGAGCAAGCAGACTTCAGAAAAACCTGGAAAGACTTGTATGGACTGATGCTGAGTGTAGCGAGCAGAACCAGGAGAATGTTGTACACAGTAACAGCCACGTTGTGCAATGACTAACTCTGATAGACTTAGCCCTTCTCAGCAATGCAAGAATCTCAGACATTTCCAAAAGTCTCATGATGGAAAATGCTACCCACATCCAGAGAAAGAACTATGGAGTTTGAATACAGATTGAAGCAGACTATTTGCTATTTGTTCCTTCTGTTTTGTTTGTTTTGTTTCTTCTTTCTTGTGGTTCCTTCTATTGGTTCTAATTCTTCCTTACAACATGACTAATGTGAAAATATATTTAATAGGAATGTATATGTAGAGCCTATATTAGATTTCTCGCCATATGGGGGGGAGGGAGGGGGAGAAAAATTTATAACTCAAAAGTTTGTGGAAGTGATTGTTGAAAACTAAAAATAAATTAATAAAAAAAATTAAAAAGATGCCTCAATTTAAAAAAAAAAATGCCTTCCCAGACCCAAAAACAATTTTTAAAAGAAAAAGGAAATCAAGTCTCTTTCTCAGAGGGAAAGATTGGTCCCTAGTACTGGGGCTCTGCCCATAGAGCTTGGGGACCTGATATTGACTAGAAGTTACCACCTCACCCTTCATGTGAGAAACCAACCCACTTTGGCTTGGTACTTTTAAAGACTTTAGTCAGCTTGGTCCAGGGAGGTGGGGGTCCTCACCCTCTCCCATTCTCATGGAAGGGCCCCTTTATTCTGGGCTCAATCACTATGACCAAACTGGTTCTTGCTCCAGAAAGTACTAGTGACTCACCCTCTCCCTTTCCCATTAAAAGGCCCCTCTACTGAACACACACACACATGCATGTATGCACACACATATAAACACATGCACACACACACACACATAAACATACATGCACATACACACACCCCAAATTTATCATTGAATAATAACATCTATAAATATTATCTCACTGTGCTAAGTACTTTACAATTTTTGTCTCATTTGATCATTAAAACAACAATGGGAGGTAAGTGCTATTATTACCCCCATTTTACATTTGAGGAAACTGAGGCAAACAGAGGTTAAGTGACTTGCCCAGGTTCACATTTCAAGTGTCAAAGGCTAGATTTGAATTCAGGTCTCCCTGACTTCCAGTCCAGCACTACCTAGTTGCCCCTTAAAAACCATAAGAGTAACTGGGGCAGCACGGTGAATAGAGCTCTGGCCTTGGAGGCAGAACCTGAGTGCAAATCCAGCCTCAGACACTTGACATTCACTAGCTATATGACTCTGGGCAGCAGTCACTTAACCCCAATTGCCTCACAAAAAAAAAAAAAAAAAGCTTAAGAGTGACCTACTTAAAAAGTAAACAAATGTAGGTTCCTAGCACAGAAAGAAAGTTTAGTCCTTACAAAGATACCAGAACATGCAGAGCCCCTCTGACAATAATTAGGCATCTGGGGTCAACTGGATCTAACCCTTTACCTTTCAGGTGAGAAATAAAACTGTCTTGTGTGAAAATTTTATGATGCTTCAGTTTCCTTACCTATAAAATGGGGACAATAATAACACCTACTTCCCAGGGCTGTGGTGCATCTGATTGGTTCTGGACAAAATTTTGTAGTGTCCCTTTCTATACAGAGCACACCAAAATATATCCATGGGTCCCTGCATCCCAAGCAACTTCCTCAGCCATACAGACAAATTTCTTTGGGGTGCCTCTACCAAAAGGCAGCCAAAATACCCCCCAATGGATCCCTTGGCACTTCCAGGGCAATTTAAGCAGAGTTTCTACCTCACCTCTCATTAGGATGAGAAGGTTGACTTAAATAAAGAGTCCTCTGAAAAGCTCACAAAGCTATAAGAGAATTCCCAAAAAGGGATTAAGCACTTAGGGCTTATTGCTCAGGGATTTCAGGCCAGCAGGTAAACGTTTTTTCTATGGCCCTGCAGGCTCCAGACACATGGTCTGGAGGAGTCACCATAAAATAATCAGTCTAGGACTGCTTAATAATAAAAGAGAAAAGCTAGGAGTATTTTAGGAATACAAAATCCATACTTCTCATATCAGCAGCGATATCAATACTTTAAAAAAAAGAGTTTAGTAACAATAGATATTAGTATTTAATCATTCAAAGGGCAAAAGTCATTATAAAGAAACCCGTGGTACTTTTAAGGAATTAACATTGGAAAACAGATTTCAATTGAAGTTGAAAACAAAAGAACAACCCAAAAATTAGGGTAACCAATAATAAAGATTCCTTTTGGAGAATTTTTCCAGTGGGGGTCCCCAAAACTGCAAAGAGCCTCAAAGCAAACCAAACGTGTAGCACAGCCTGGATTATCCCAGCTCCCACTTCCACTGATGAGTCAGGCCTCCTCTAGAGTTATCGTTGAAAGGTTCATGTTGTCTTTCTGGTAGTATAGCTCATGAGCCCCCACCGGTGTGCTTCGTAACAATTATTAGTCAGCCAGATTAGCTTTTAGGAAGGGATATTTAGTAAGGAGGCAAAGCAAAAAAAAAAAAAAAGTATAAAACATCTCCCCCGAAGTCTGTGATACATCCTCTCACATATATAGGGTCCACGGACAGTGGGCTCAGGCTTAGAGAGCATGTGCGACAAAGGGGTAATTCGCAGCTGCTGGAGGCCATTTTATTGGACACCTCAAGATGTTCTCCTTAAATATGGTGCAGGTTTTCTGTTGTGCTCTTTGCAGAGCCTTGAATCTGTATCCAGTTCATTCTTGGCTCCTGATGGAAGACACTGCCTTCAGCTAATCCAGGGACAGCTATGGGAAGTTGGGAAGACCTCCAGGCTTCTACAATTCATGAGGTACTTTTCTGTTCAAGAGGGAGGAGATTAAAAATTAAATCAAGCCCAAGGCCCAGGAATCTGCGCCAAGCAAAAAAGCAATGCCTTCTTAGGAGGTTATCTGTTACACTATCTCTCCTTATTGCTCACTCAAATTTTTCTGGTTCTAAACTGTTCTGCTATTTTCTAAAAGACCCATAGGTCATTCCTTAACCAAAGGAACACTTTCCTCTACATTATTACAGCTATCAAGGACTTTTTCCATCTTTACTCTAAAGTTGATGACTAATTGAGATATCTTATCACTTCATTAGTATATCAGAGCTCAGCATCTTATCACTTACTTTAACTAGCAGGGACCAACCCACCATTCACTCAATGATCCCCACCCTTATAAAAAAAGGATCCCATAGAAGAATATCATTTCAACACATTATGAGATGGTCAAATGAAGAGTCCTCTGCTGATCTAATTACAAGAGATTCTCTGTTAAATCAATCCTGTACAACAAATGCTTTTAACAGTCATTCCTCAAGTTAACCCTCTTACTCTACAAAGCAGTACAGGCAGGAAAGGGGAGTATACACTTTACTTCATAATTCTTTTGTTCTTCCATTAAAAATCAATTACCTTCACACTCCAATATAATAAAATGGATGTCACCTAAATTGATTTCCAGCTTTAATACTATACCA